CGCGCGCGCGCGCGCGCGCGAAAGAAAAAAAAAAAAAAAAAAAAAAAATATATATGTATATATATATATATATATATATATTTTTTTTTTTTTTTTTTTTTTTATATTTATTTTTTATATATATATATATATATATATATATATATATATATATATATATATATATTTTTTTTTTTTTTTTTTTTTTTTTTTTTATTTTTTTTTTCTCTCTCTCACACACACACACACACACTAACTCTCTCTCTGTCTGTCTCTCTCTCTCACATACACACACACACATAAAAAAAAAAAAAAAAAAAAAAAAAAAAAATTCTTTTTATCATATTATATATATATATATATATATATATATATATATATATATATATATATATATATATATATATATATATATATTTTTTATTTCTTTAATTTCTTTAATTTCTTCCTTTTGGGAATTTTTAGGTGTCTATTAATAGGATAGACATTGATGCTGTTATTTATTTCATTGATGTATCTGACAGGGGAAGACTAAAAATAGGTTTAAAAAAAAAAAAAAAATAAATAATACATATGTATAATAAAATGAAATTTTATATATAGGAATATTGCTTATATAGCAGTTAAAATTCACATATAATAGACAAATAATAACCAAATTTATATAGATTATCTCTAGTTTAATTTCATATTTTTATTTTAATTTTTTTTTTTTTTTTTTTCAATAGCTAAAAAGGGATTTTATAAAATTTTACAAGATTTTAGTCATATAGATGATTTTTTAATTTTAGCAAGTAAACAAGATAAAAAAAATTGCATGCTATTAGAACATATTAGAAAAGAACTGAAAATAGATCAAATTGTTGATAAAAATTGGTAAGAAAAATAGATCTAATATTAAATGATATTTAAAATTTTTAAAATAAAACTATATATCATATATATTTATATAAACTTTTTTTTTTTTTTTTTTTTTTTTTATATTAAAAGCCATTTAGCGGAATGTTCATCTAAAACAGGATACGGAATAGATTCTTCAATGAATTGGCTTTTTAACCAACTAATGATTAAAAGAAAAAAAAAATTATGCTTTTAAAAATAAATATCTTTCACTTATGCTTTTCTTATTCTCTTTATTTTTTTTTTTTCATTTTATTATTTATTAAATTTTTTTTATTTGAAAATGATTCATTCTCAATCTTTTTTTTTTTTTTTTATTAACATTTAATTTTTTCATTAAAAATTAAAAAAATAAATATATTAAAAGATGATTATTATAAATTGTTATTAAACAAAATAAAAAAATAAGTCATAAATTAAATTAATTAAAAATATATAATAAAAAAAATTGCAATTTTTTGTCTAATTATTAAACATAAGGAAAAAATAAAAATTAAATAATACATAAAATTGAAATGATACCAATATTATAATAATATTAGAAATGTTATCAATGTAGTTAATAATATTTTAACGATTATTATTTTTAGAATTAAAGTATTTAAAATGTTATTTTTATTTTACATATTTTGAAGCTATCATTTGTTTAGTAGAAAAAAAAAAAAAAAATAAAAAATAAAAAAATAATACACTTATAAAAATGTGTTAAGATATTTTATTTTATTTTATTTTTTTTTTTTTTTAATTAAAACTTCATAATAAATATTTTATATAAAATGAAAAGTAAATGAAAATCTGTATGTATATAATAAAAGTAAAAAAAAAAAAAAAAATAAAATAAAAAATAGAAATGCAAAAATGTATTAATTTTTCTGTTTTCATTGTTTTTTTGTTACTTATAAATATTTATTGTGTAAAAGTAAAAAATAACAATTATAGTTATGTAATTAATAAAATTTCTAATTGCAAACATAAATACAAGAGGAAAATAATAAGAAAATATGCAAAAAAAAAAAAAACAAAAGATGATTATGAAGAATATTATAAAGAATTAGATAAAATATTCAATGAATGTGATTATGATGAAAAACAATTAGAAGAAGAAGAAAAAAAAAGAGAAGAAGAATTAAATTCATTAAGCGAAAAAGACTTACTTGATATAAATTTTTGTAATTATGAAAATGATCCTAGAAGTTTAGCGAATTTAGTTAAAGATAAAAGCAAAGAAGAAATAGAAAAAGAAAAATTAGAAGAAGAAGAAAAAATAAAAAATAATGAAAAACTAACAATGCAATACAGCTATGATTACGATAGAGTTTTGAAAAAAAAATTTCTCGAAGAAAAAATAGAATACAAAAAAAAATTTACATTAAGAGAAAAGGAAGAAAATTTAGTTGAAAATGTTGATATTAATTTAATGAATGATTTTTTAAATAATTATAAGAATGATTTCCCCAGATCATTTTACAAAGGAAAAAGAGATAAATATTTTGGTAGAGAAGATTTAGTAAATGATGGAGATAATGAAAAGATAGATAGTGAAGAAAATAAAGAAATACATATAGATAAAACAAATAAGGAAGATAATATAAATGATGAAATGTTGAAAGAAAATTTAGAAAGTATCAACTTTTTAAAAAAAATAAAAAATGATTTCTACATTGACAGAGATAATTATATAAATGAATCAGTAAAGGAAATTAAAAAGGAGTTTAATGATAATGCAAATACAGAATATGTTAATAGTTATCCTAATACAAATTATGATGAACATGAAAAATTAGAAAAGAATAAAGAATTTGATGAATTTGTAAAAGAAAAAATAAAAAATAGTGCTACAGATGATAATATAAATAAAGTAATAATAACCAAATATATACATATGTTTCAAGTAGATGATGAAATAAAAGAAATTAATGAGAAAATAAAAAAAGGAGAAAATGTAAGTACTATTTTAGATATATTTAAAGAGAGTAAAAGGATAAATATGATAAATATTATGTATGCTTTTATGTATATAGATCGATTTAAAACTCTAAACATTAATGAGTATTTATATGATAAAAGATTTGCACATTTAACTTATGCATTAGAAGAATTATTAAAATATTATTTATATGTACTAAATGAAAAAAAAAATATAAATGTTAATCGTAGAACTTTAATTTTGAATGACAAAAACATAATTTTTTTAATTAAATATATGAATCGTCTGAAACTATTTTACATTAATTTGAATATATATAACTTGCTAATTTTAATTTTATCAAAATCATTTCACTTGTTTAATATGAATTCTTTCATTATTTTATTGGCTTATTTAAATGAATATACCTATTTTAGTAATAATATACATAAAAAAATAAATATATCACTTTTGCAACATATTTTTAATTATTTTAAAACATACACAGTTCATTCATCAAATATTAATTTTTATCATTTCAAAATATTACTTCCTTTATTAATAAAATATAAATACATAGATAATGATACATTTAAAATGATATTCAATTACTTTCAGAAAGATATAAATAAAATTTTAGAATTTTTAAAAGATGAAAATATACCAGAACAAAAAGAAATTTCAGATTTATTATTTTATGATGTAAAAACAAAAGAGCAAAAACAAAATAAGGAAAATTATATTTCCTATATAAAATATACGAACATGATGAAAAAAAAAGAATATTTGAATTTTTTGTCACAATTATTACATTATTTAATGATATCGAAATTTAATGAAAGAGATGAAATAGTTCTCAAAATAATAAATATATTTATTAATCATTTTAATTTTTTCGATTTAGAAGAATTATTGAATATTTTATATAACTATGATCTATTTAAAAATTCTAATATAGATATAATGATTTGTTGTAAACAAGAATTGTTAAGTAAAAAAAGTATGTTAAAAGATAATGAGATAAATAAAATTTTATCCTTTTTCATATATAATTACAGAAAAGGAATAATTTTTGAAAATTATTATTCTAATTTTTTTAGAAATAAAAAGTATACCATATTAAGAACTAATAATAATGACAAAAATAGTTTATTTTTATATAAAAACATAAATAAAATTCATTACAAAAACTTTGAACAAGTAGGAAAATATATGATAAATCAATATGGAAATAATAACATTATTAGTAATACTAACGAAACTATGAATAGTTACAATGATAATGAATATAGTAATAAAATAAAAGAAATTAAATATGACTTGGATAATGAAAAACATATGAACATCACTAATATAGGTAATTATAACAATAGCAATAAAAATTTGAAGAGTAAATTCATTGATTCAGAAAAAGAACAAAAAGAACAAAAAGAAGAAGATATAAAAACTTTTTTAAATGAAAAGGAAAATATTCAAGATTCTTATAAAAATACAGATAATAAACTAAAAGAAGGAAATAATGATATAATAAACGAAGTACTAAAAAAAAAAAAAAACATAAAATTATTTAAACAAAATTCTATCTTGAACAAATTAATTTTTAAGGATTCTGAGTTTATTTATGATTTAACTCATGATATTCACATATATGTTAATTTTAGAAATGTACATTTACTAAAATTTGTTTACAATTTATATTTATTAAGCTTATTATTTTATAAAAATCCTGATGTTATTCGAATTGTTTCAGAAATAGCATATAACCTTATAGACACAAATATCTTTTCATTTATTGATCAGTATTCCTATTATTTATATGAAGATATTTATGTGGTTATAAAAGCATTTAAGTATATTTCTTTTTTTACAATAGATTTAATATTTATATGGAAAAAGTTCTTTTTTCTTTTACATCATTTTATTAATTCATTAAATTTAGAAAATATTTATGATATATTTTTTTTTATTAAAATTGCTAATATTACTAATTTGAAAAATGAAAACTATGATGTTATAAAATTATTAACTAGTAGAATGAAGCAAATTTTAGAAATTCTCCATAAATGCAACATTAAAAAATTTAATACATATCCTCATACATACGTTTTAAATATTGTTAACCTTATAAAAGAAGATAATAATGAAAATGTTAAGGAGTTTATTAATTTTTTCTTTTATTCGATTTATAAAAAGATAGAAGAATTATCATTAAAAACCAATTTTTCTACATATGAAGAGAACATAGTAAGTAAAATATATGAAAATAAAAACGAAGAAGAAGATAAAAATGGAAAAGATAAAAATAAAATTGAAGGTAAAGAAGAAGAAGAAGAAGAAGATAAAAATGGAAAAGATGAAAATAAAATTGAAGGTAAAGAAGAAGAAGAAGAAGAAGAAGATGATAAAAATAGAAAAAATAAAAATAAAATTGAAGATAAACAAGAAGATAAAATTGTAAATGAAAGTATATATGAAAATTTTGAAAAATTGAAAAATCAAAGTAATTTATCACCCAAAAGTAATTTTTACAAATGTGATGAAGTATATAAAAAAGTCAATAATTATATTTATAATTTTAAAGACATTAGAATTTTTTTGCGTATTTTTCTAAAAAATTACAAAGAGAATCAAGAATTATTTAATTTGCAAATTATTGATTTTATCTTATGGAATTCTGAAATGTTTTTTTTAGAGATGCATAAAAATAAATATTATTATCATAATGTTTATATATTTGGTAAAGAGATGAATGAATTTCTATATCTTTTAAAAACTGCTATTAAAAATAATTTATACAACCGCAATATTATGCATAGATATATTAAAATATTTAAATATATAATAGATATTCAAAGCATTCATAATGATACTCACAATTTGAAAAATAATATTTATAAAAATTTTTTTTCAAATTTTAGTTACTTGAGTGATATAAATGTTTGGAAATATATTAGAAGGAAATTTGAAGTTATTACATAGTAATAAATTAATGTATTCATTACATCAATTTTTTTTTTTTTATCTTCTTTTTATCTTCTTTTTATTTTTTTTGTCTTTTTTTTTTTTTTTTTTTTTTTTTTTTTTTTTTTT